GGCGAGGGAGCAGACTGAGGCTTACCTCTTCTGTTGCTGCAGGTTCTGCTCATCTCGGCTCTGGGCCCATGACTCCCGTCTCTGGAACCAACTACAGAATTTTCTCCACAGGCAGAGAATGAACCCCTTGTCCTTGGGTAGCGGCAACCCCATGGAGTGTAGGGCCGGCTCCTTGGGGGGCCGAGGCCGTGGCCAGACCCCCAGAGGACTCAGCCTTGGGGCCACATCAGCACCCCCAAGGGCCGGCCTGCCCTCGCCCTGTAGAGGTCCCGTCTCCTACCTCCCTGGTCCCTACCTCCCTGAGGAGTCTCCCCGAGGCGCCAGAGCCCGACTCCAGGGGGCTCTGAGGTTCTTACACCTGGCAGAGCTGGGACTCCCTCGGCTGGGTTCCTCCCCGGGAGCTCCTCCTGGGAGCGAGCGAGCCTGCAGACACTCCCACCCTCCTCCCAAATTACCTGAGATTTAAAGAGACAGGCCAGCCGACCTGCCTTCCATCTGGGGCCTGGGCCTTGCGTAAACTCCCTCCCTGCCCGCCTGGGTCTCTCTCCCTGCCCCCAGGCCAGTCCAGGAAGGGGAGGCCTTCAAAGAATGGAGAGGCCTCCCTTGGACTTTGGGACACCTGGTGACCTTTTATAGAAAGGCCTGGACAGGTCAGACTAGCCTGAGAGACTAGGCCTGAGGGAGGAGGGGAGGAGTGGCCGGCCTTGGGGACTGACGGGCCCCACGGGGAATGACTAGCGCCCGCCTCTCTCCCAGGGTCTTTTCTGTGTCTTTCCCTCCTGGAGACTCAGCTTTTTCTCACTCTTCCACTTTAATCTCTAGCCTGGCCCCAAATAGGTATGTAAACATGAAAACCAAGTGTGGGCCGGCAAACTTTTCCCGGAAAGGGCCAGATAGTACATGTAAGCATTTTAAGGGTGGCAAAACCACATACAAACATGTAGCCTCTGACACCCATGTTTTGTTTTGTTCCGATAGCCCCTCAGAGATGGATAATCCATCCTGAGCTCCCAGGCCAGGGCAAAAAAGTGGGCAGCCGTGGGCAGGATTTGGCCCCCCCCTGGACTGCATAGACTCCTACTCTGGAGTCCTAGAACCCATCCCCAACATACGTATTGGGTTACCAAATAAATACAGGACGCCCCATTAAATTGGAATTTCAGGTAAACAATGAAGTTTTGTTGTTGTTGTTGTTGTTTTTTAGCGTAAACATGTCCCCAGTATTGCAAGCCTGTTCTCTGGCCACCTCTGGTAGAGGCAGCCTCTATCCACCGTGACTGCCTTCTGGGCCCACAGAAACTCACATCAAACCTGTGGGGCAGGTATTCTTGTCCACATCTTACAGATTAAAAAACAAAAACAAAGATAAACCTCAAGGTGGCAAAGTAAATCACCCAAGATCCCATAGCCAATTGGTGGCAGTGGCCAGATTGAGACCCACTCCCACACCCCCATGGGCGGATGGAGGCCCAGGGCAGTGAGGTGGCTTGCAGCAGGGAGGATAGATGACAGAGAGCGCAGCCCATCCCTGTCGCACTGCCCAGGAGCAAGCCGGGAGCCACCGCGGGCATTTAGTTCAACCCTCTGCTGGAAAGAGACCAGAGTCCCAGCTTATGCAGAGTCCAGGGGCAAAGCAGGGACCTGATGGCCTGGGGCATGGGTGTCTGGGCACTTAGAGCCACTGGTATGTGTGGGTCACTCCCTAGCTTCAGAGTCTGTTTTTTCCTACGTGTCTCTGATTCAGCGAGGAGTGTGTGTGTGTGTGTGTGTGTGTGTGTGTGAGGTATGAGCCTGTGTGCGCGTGTGTGCATGGGTTTGTATGTGTGGGGGCGGGGGGGGGGAAGCGTAGGCGCATGGGTGGGGTGTCTCTGTGGGCAGGGGGTAGGAGGGCCACCCTCAAATCTGAAGGGAAAGCTGCACTCCTGTCCCTACTGTTGGGCGCAAGGCCAGGCCATAGAGCCCTGAGCAAACAGCACAGTCTGATTAGCCGCCTTCCCCACCCACCCAGGGGTCAGTGGGTTCGGGTTGGGTCGGGGGGAGGCGCTAGGACCCAAACCTTCAACCAGGACCTTTGTGCCCATTAAGCCAGTGCGTCTGCCGGCGGACCCACCCACCTTCTCTTTACTGCTGGGCTCCAGGCAAAGACCCCAGTCCAGCCGCTGGTGGGAAACGGAATAAGGCAGAGGGGTGTTTGTCCTGTGGAGGCTGCAGGAGGACACCGTCATTCCCGACTTTCTTTGCCTTCCGCCGCTTTCTCCACCTGCTACTGCCTTTCCGCATTGGGTCACCACGACTCAGGGAGAACAGACTCACAAGGGCACGCAGAGCAGAGAGATGAGGGGGCAGATGGCCGAGTGCAAGCTTCTGCCAACAGTGTTTTCTCGGTTCTTGGACGCAGCACCGTGGGCTTGGACAGTGGGGACGGTGGGCCAAGGGTTGAGTGCCGCTGCCCACGTGGGCCCATCTTGAAGCCACGCTGCCTGTTCCTCCCAGGGATTGCAGCTCTGAGGGGGCAGTGAGGTCGCGCTGGAACTCCTCCATGAGGACGCGGTTGGTTCCACAACCCAGAATCCCTGACTCAAGTGTCTGAATACCGGAGGCTATAGATGCAGGGGCTGAGGGGGTGAGAGAGAGACTAGAGCTCACAGGAGAGTGGTCACAGCCGCTGGCCTCATTTGGTGAGATTTGCCATCACATCTTCTCAAATCCTTTTGCCTAGACTCCAAATTTAGGAAGACTTTTATGACCCCAGCAAGTCATTGTCCTTTTCAATGGTCCCGTGTGAGGATGAGCATATGGACTTCCAGTCTGCCCTCAGCCTCACGGCAGTTGGTCTGCAACCTCTCCAGGGCGTTGGGGGTGGTGGCGTGGGGGGGGGGG